CTTATATTAACTGTCAAAATCAATTTTTTAGTGTTGATCAGAAAAAAAAATTCTCACTCGTAGGAAATTCAATAATTATAAATGTAATTTTTTGAAAATATTATTTTAGTGTTAATTTAATTGTTAAAGGAACCCAAAAAAAGCTATCAGATGTTTACTGACTTATGATACTGACATTTAAAAATTTTAGGAATTTTATTCCAGAAATAATTTATTAAAATCTCTTCCGAGTACTAATTTATTTTTAATAAAATCAAACAATGGTCAAATGTCTGCTGATTTCATATCATAAAATATTATTTTAAAAACATACTATAGCTGTTACCCGCCCGCTTTATAGAATTGCATTTTTATATCTAGAATTGAAATTTAATTGGAGTATTGTTTTAATTTGCACAAATTCCAAATTATCATAAAATATTATTTTAAAAACATATTGTGAGACTGAGATCGATAAAAAATTCTAAAAGACCTATAAATTAAAAATTTATCAATTTCACTTTGTTCAGATTATTAAGTATTATATGTAATAAAATATTCAAATGAACGTACTTACTAGTGTCAAGTAATTATAGTTCTCATTTTACATTGCGTATGGCTTGTGTTTTATAGTGAGTATAAATTATCATTAGAGTGAGTATTGACGTAAAACTTGCGTGTTTTTGCTCCATTGATCCTCATTACACTTTGTCGAGCGATATGAAAACAACAAAGGCGGCTAAATTCCTAAGTATATATATTTGTATTTATTTGATTCAATTTTCATTAGCTAAAATTATTTTTGATTAAAAATAAAATATCAATTTCCTGCAACGTTGAAATTTTTTTCTTATAAACCGCAGTTAGTTCCCGGTAACATCTGCATCATACCGCTGAGATCTCAAAAAATCCAAGAGCAATATTACATGTGACAGAATGGTTGGGTTACGTGGAGTAGAGTACAAGCGAATCGAAAAAGCTAAAAAATATAAGTGTGTATAGAACAGATATAATATGATATAAGATTGAAAGAGGAGTAGAATAGAATAGGTAGTCTAAAAAATTTAACTGTAAACTTTTTTGCAAGTTTATTTCTTTTTCATACTTTGTTCATAAATTGGAGTAAAGAAAACCCAGAAGATAAAAATAAGAAACCAATATAGAGTTACTTAAAGTAAGAAACTGACCAAAATTTCTGGCTGTTGGCGTTAATATTTTTAAATAAAACTCCAAGCCAGCATGCGACGTTGCGACGATAAATATTGGATTCGTTGGAAAGATGTGCTCAGCAAGCGCCACTTGCGAATAATGGCGTCCACCCTTTTTTTTCTCTTTTTTTTTCTTTCTCTTTCTCCCTCATGTTTTCATAACTTGATCACAGCCTTTTTCATTCAATTTTTACAATTTATATTTAAGTATTAAGTATATTTGCAATATAAATTCATTTTTATCACACGATATACGTATCTTATTGTCATTATTATTAGGTGCAAGATCTTAGTTGGGTGGCTAATTTGAAGGGAAAAAAAAATTTATGTTCAAGATATTTACTCAAGTTACACTAATTACTGAAGCAGGCTTATCGCTCGTTGTATAAGTATAGCTAAGTATCCTACGTTAGGTGTTTCATTAATGCGAATTATAGCCCGTCAAGTAACAGCGATCACGCTTGATGAAACACCATCTTGTGAATGCTAAATTTATTTATATATTTTAAATTGCGCTTATAAAAAGACGAAAAAAAAATGACTTTGTTTCTAAAAAATGTATTGAAAATATTGTTCATGTTGAAAAAAAAAAAAAAAAAAAAATTATATTGTGAAAGTTTGAGCTATTTATATTAATATTACCAGATTTACCATTGCAATTTTATAATCTTAATTTTAAAAATATTCCTTTTTAGAAACTTTCGAATTTTTCAATTTAAAAAATTAAAAATCATATATTTGTATAGAAATTTAATGCTTTTAAAAAAAAAAAAAAAAACTGATTGGAAATGTGAAAATCATATTTGACAATTTTTAAGATTTATAAAAAAATAAATTAATGCTAAAAATTGTTTTTAAAATTCTAAATACAGAAATTTGAGAAAAGTATGAATGAAAAATTTTTCGGTACTGGTTTATTTTTTAAATAAAACCAAACAATAGTCAAGTATCTACTAACTTCAGTATAGTTTCTTAAAAAAAAAAAAACTAAATTTAATGGGCATACTTGCTAAATTTTATCTAATTTATATAATAGATTCACATAAAGACAAACTATTAAAAATTGTACGCACAAATAATTTAACATTAAAATTTAAACACGTATGACTGTAAATATGCGTATGTTCAAATGATCTTCGACGTAAAACTAAAAAAATTTGGTTCATTTAATAATCTCCAGATTTAGATTTCAATTTTGTCTGAAAAATTATTTTTTGTTTGGTACATTAAGTAAATTAATTATTGTCACAATATTGCAAAACGTTGATATCTGATTTTTAGTCAAATGTGAATACTGGAACTAAACTGGCAGTTTCTGCCGACAAATTGACCTCTCGTTGATGGCGAACCCTTTTGCCAAACGCCGTTGATTCCGTCACAAAAAACCGGTGCAATGTGTTCATTTTTTGCAGTGTTGCTACAATTGACGCGAAGCCTTAGAAGACTATATATGATGTACGATGATGTAACATCTGGCAACGTTGGATATTCACTAAAATTTTGATGGTGCGATTCGGTGAATTATGTGGGAATTTAAAAAATTTTATGATTAAGTTAATATTATTTTTAATTTATTTAATATAGGAATAGCTAAATCGGCTTAGACTAATCATGGGTAGTTGTTGTCTGTTAATAGCGGCTTAATATTAAAAATACATGATTCGTAGGTATAAAAAATACTTGATTAGTATGAATTTAGTTGCCGCGGTACGATATAATTCAGTGTTCAATATATTCCCGTGAGCTTCGAATATAACATAAGTTGGCCAATTAATAAGATTAGCCAATCTGGGAAACCATTTATTTTTTCATTTTTTTTCTTTGTCACGAAGGGTCTACCTGTCGTTGAATGAAGCGCATGCCAATCATCCCCCGTAAACTATAATAGCCATATTTTTGAGTTTTAAAATTTTAATGAAATATATTGAGGGATCAATTAAGTAAATCGTCACGTCTTTTGGTAAATTTGAGCAATAATTATGCATAAAAAATATTTATTTACAGATAAAAAGCGTGTCAAATAAAAAATGATTTGAACAAAATCTGCCATTACGCATAAACATTAAGGTGGCGGAAAAAATTGACTATTCTTACTTTTTTAAATCTTTTATGAAAATATGTTTTAACTTTCAAAGATGTCGGATAAGTAACTGTTGATTAAAATATTGTAGTAATAATTGTTTTTCTGACTTTTATTCATGCCTCGTAATTTAATTTGCTAACGATAGAAAAAAAAATTGTAAGTTCAGTAATTTTTAAGTTCAAAAATCGCTCAACAAATTGACCATGCTAATATTGACTAGTAGTATTATGCTTCTAAAATTTATAAATAACTTTTATTCTTAATCTACAATAGCACTGTTTTTTTTACTTCTTTAAATCTATGAGTTTTGTAGTTATTAAACTACTCTTTTTGAAATGTTATATTTATCTGATCAAACAAGTTGTACTTTATAAGGAGCAAAAACATATTTAATAACAGTACGATTGAATGATATTGAAATCAATGACCGAACCCATACTAATAATAGGTACATTAGATAATTTATAACACCAATTGTTAAACAGAGTATTACTTTAATTATTAACATGATTTTTGTAATAAAATTTTTGATAAATACTTATTTATTGATTATAAAGTAATTTATTTTATATAAATTGATCATAAATGTACGTACCAAACACGGCAGGTTGAGTTATAATGACCAGTTTTCACAACTTTCTGATAAGTGTACACAAACATTTTTTTTTTTTTATATTATAAAAATTGCAGATATTTCTGTGCAAATGTAAATTTTTATTTCAAGTATAATTAAAAATTAATAATTACGTAATAAATATAAAATTAATTTCTTTTATTTAAGATTTTTATTTTAATTTTAACATTAAATGTTTTTTTTTTTTTATTTTTTTTATGCTGCCTGGTCAATATTTGGTTCTTTTACTCTACTCTAATTTGAAAATTAAAAAAATTTTCATAGGAAACTAAAAAATAAAATAAAATAAGTTTTTTGCGCTAAATTTATAAAATAAGTAAATTGATTATTATAAAAAAAAATTTGATATTATACATGAAATTGTAATAATTTATAAGTTATTTACATGAAAATATTAATTTAGTATTCATTTTGAATTAGTAATATCTGTTCAATATACCGGTGGTATTTTATTTATTTATTCATGCTAAATCGCTTGGGTTTGAGTCCCAAGTGAGATCGGAGGAATGGCAAGTAAAGTTTCTCGGTTGTACGTAGTATGTTGTATCCCGGGGGTTCGGAAATTCGAGGAGACGACACGAGGAATTGGCCAGTGTGTATAGTGACATTATACAGAGTAAGAGTATTGCGACGTAGACGTAACGTGAGTAGAAAGACCAAGTAAGATAGAAAACGAGTGGAGAAGAGAAAAGAAAAAAGAAGCCAACAACGACGCCAGAGTCGTGTTATAGTGGCGAAGGCCGTCTAATCATGACATTTAAATGCAGTGCCGCTTGTTCGGTGTTTCGCGGTGCGCCCAATCCCCATCCTATCCCAAAAGCTAAGGTTACTTCATGACGAAAATGCTAGAAGATGATAAAAAAAAAAAAAAAAAATCGTTAAATTTTCCACTTATAAATTTTATTTTCTTAAATATATACAGCCTTATAAATATATACTTGGAATATTTTTTATAATTATAATTTATTTATATTTCAGAAAAAGGATAGAACTCATAGCAAGAGACTGAGTGGCCTGGAGGTAATAGACAAATCTAAAGGGTTGATTTGAAAAATTATACATAACGATATGGAGTTTGTAAGGGAGGAATGATAGAATGCAAGAAGGTAGTACTGCGGTGGCGCTAGCAATGGTGACTCCTGGGTACGATCAGGACCCTGCAAGTGGGGTTGCCGATTATACAACGCACCAGGATCAAGCTCAATTCGAAGCTGATAAAAGAGCTGTATATAAACATCCTCTGTTCCCGCTATTGGCGTTACTATTCGAGAGATGCGAACAAGCAACACAGAGTTCAGACAATTCAACATCCGAAAGCTTCAACATGGACATACAGGCTTTTGTCCAGCACCAAGAAAGAGACCGAAAGCCTTTTTTAATCAATGACCCAGAGATTGACGGTTTAGTACGTTATGTTTTTTTTTTTTTATTATTTTATTATTATTTTTAAATACTTTATAAGTATAAAAAAAGAAAACAAAAACAAGTGAGGATAAAATAAATGAATATCGACTAAATAACTTTGTTTTGTTTTTCGTCTGTAGATGATAAAAGCCATTCAGGTGCTACGGATTCATCTGTTAGAGTTAGAAAAGGTTCAAGAATTGTGCAAGGACTTCTGCAACAGGTACATTTGTTGTCTCAAAGGGAAGATGCAAAGCGAAAATTTATTACGAAGCGACTACAGTCATCACGGGCACGATATCGGTCCATCAAGTGGCAGCAACGGGAGCAGTCCACTGCAGGTTAGCTGTTTTACCTCGACTGTTTTCGAGAGTCACGGCCCTATTAATCCCAAGCCTGTTTAGTAATCCTAATAGTAAAGAGGTGTATGAAATCCATTTACATACTTTTGGTATTAAAATCTTTGCTTATCTTATCTATCAATTAACTAACTATCATATTAACCAAACTATTTATTTGGGTGCTTTTATTCTTCTATGTGATTAAAAATAGTATCAACTCACACATCCTTTTAGTGATAAAATAGGATTACGTTAATATAATTAATATAAATATTAGGTACTTGTACACCTCTTAAGATACAATAGGATCCCACCCCTTACTCTCTGACGGCTAGATACGACATATATTTGCCAGGTGCTGTCATCTACAGGCAATGATGTTGAGCCGGGAACTAACGGACTCGGAGTGAGTAGAGGAGACACGCCGTCCGAGAACGGCAGCACGAGCCAGGAAATCGTCCAGGTCGAAGGCATCGTCGAGAGGCCTTCATCCGCCCGATCTTCATCTGTTGCTCAACGCTCCATCAGATCCGACAGTCAGGATCAGGATGATCCACTGTCACCTTCTACCGTTCATGGTAGTACACCTCTCTCTCAAATTGGAGCCCATCCTTGTGCTTCTGTCAACGATATTTATCTTGGTCAAGGTAAGTCTGAGTATCTGAACCATAAGTTTCATTTTAATTTTAAATATCACACTCCTACACATCTCCAGTTTGGTTTTCCTGTAATAATCCTGTAATCATTCCCGGGTAAAATATTCCATCTTTTAGATATTCTCACAGATCCTTTAACCGATCCTCTGACAGACCCGCTTGCCCATCCTTTAATTGATAAAGATGTGTATCTCAGTGATCGAATTTACGTTGAAGAAGTCGGATACTGGGGGCTTGTACCTATGCAAGAACGTGAAAATGAGTATGGAGAAATAAAACACTCCAATCATGGAAAATATTCCGGTTAGATTTATTTATTTAACATAGCACGTTACAGATGCCATAAGGGCGTATAATAAAAATTCTATTTTTTTTTCCGTCCAAAAAAATTTTGAGTTGAAAGAAAAATTTTTTTTTGCATTTCTACTCGTTTCATACAAAATACGTCGGTTCCCAAAAAAAAATTTTATTATACGCCCTTGTTAGGGTGGCGCAAAAAAACCAACCATTTTTTTTTTGTCTCGAGTGAAAAAATGTCAGTTTTTGACCCTCTCCAAAGAACAGCTCAAAAAAAATTTTTTAAGAGGTCGCTCCAAATTTTTTTAAATTTCAAAAATCGAAATTTTTTTTTTTTATTTTTTTTCTCGTTACGTCATAATTTTATAGACCAAAAAAAAATAAAA